TGCCACTCTAACGGTGATATATTTTTATTATTTACAGAAGAGGCCACAAAAATTTGCAGATGTTTAACTTTTGTTTATTTTAACTCTAGCAGTAAGTCATGTAGCAAAATGGCTCTTAAAGATCTTCCCAGGGTGTATTTTTTCTCCTCATGATACTCCTTGAGTAATGTTTTAACAATTGCTTTAAGCTGAAGATCCTCTTCCATACGAACAGACCTTAAATCAAACAGTAGTAAAATTCTGCTGAAAATTATATAAATGGAGACTTGGTAGGTCCTAATTAACCAATTAGAAGAGTTTATGAGAGGCAGATTGATTAAATATCAAAGCTTCTGACTTATATTATCTTTCATAAACTGGCTTTTTTCCAATTAGTATATGCTTTCAGGAGCAAGGGAACAAGATGAAAGGATCTGCAACAAAACTGATTACTGCTGAAACAAAATGGAAGTTGCTGCTTTTCATAAAATACAAGGCTATGGTAGTACTTGAATAATTTTATGGGAAGTTGCTGCCTAAGGCATAAGTTTTACTGTCTTATACTGAATGCATGAGGAAAAACCATCTGTTTTTTTCAGCCTGAACAATTATATGATCCAGATTGAATCACTAGAGGCCAAATATAATTGCTCTGTGTTTTGCTTTTTACTACTCTCTACCTACAGCAGCATGGTCTTGTACAGAATGTATTGTAGCACACAGTTCAAATGATGGCATGGGAAAATACTTTTTCTTCTATTGAGGGTTATCAAATTACTATCCAGGGCTTAATGCAATCATCTACACTTCATCAGACACTGGAGAAATAATTCACAATAGGAAAGAACAATTCCTGATAAACTTTGACCACTGTGATGTTTGAGCCTTAGGGATTTCTTTTTGCTGGGCAGATCCTCATTTAACATTCAGCCAGGTGAAAGTTGTTGCTGCAGCCTCCATGCCTGCAGTTCCAGCTGGGAAAAAGGAGAGGTGCTTTCCTTTGTAAACAGATTGCACTAAAAACACAGCAAGTGAATCTTCACTCTTAGTTTACTTTGAAGGAAAAGCACTTCAGTGATATATAAACTACACAAAATATTCCACGTTTTTTTCTACTGTTGTGCTTTACAGCACCTAAATGTATGCTTTTCATTTTGCCAGGCTAGCAGGACTGGGTTTCTCCCCTCTATAAAAGTGCTTACAGTTTCCTTTTAGACATAATGTGCTGAGGGGCACTAAAAGAAGTGTTCAATGTTGGGGGGAGGAATGAGGGACTGAGGGGCAATATTTGAATATGGGGGTGGATAAATACAAATATTTTTATTTTGTTCAATATAATAATAATAATAATAATAATAATAATAATAATAATAGTAGTAGTAGTAGTAATGATGATGCTCCATGCCTTTCGGGTTTCTGGAAAAACTGGGAGCAAGAGTAATAGAATTTTGGAAAAATTTCTTTCTGAGACTATTTTTATGTGTTGCTGTGAGGATTGTTTCTGCTTTTCAATGGATAAACTGCAGAACTATGTCAACCAGGTGCTAATCCACACTGCACCTGGCTTTCCTGAATATTTGCTTTTATTTTGATTAATACACTGCTTAACTGTACTCATTCCCTCTCCTGACTCACTTTTCCCATCTATTGTGAATAAACACCTTGCCCACAGTGATATTCTAAATCATAGTCCTGACAGACTGTGGAAAGCAAGTGGTGGGTAAATGGATGATGGTTTTGTGTAGGATTGGGCTGTGACTTAAAAGGATCAGGTTTATTCCACATGTAAAGACTTTCTGTGTAGCCTTAGGCAAGTCCCTTACCTTTACTGTGCCATGGTCTCCAACTGTGATATGGGAACAAGAAACTTTTTTTTTTCCTGCTGTGTCTGTTTTCCATAATTGTGCTATAAGAAATCTCTTCCAAGTGGAAACTGGTATTGTGTGTTTGGATAAGACCCAGTACAACTGGGCTTCCAATTTAGTTGGTATTACAGGAATAAAATCAAACAAGAAATTTTTAATACCTAAACACAAAGGAAGTAAGCAAATGTCATTTTAATTGATTCAGGTCTAAAGAAATTCAGCAAAAGGAAATTACATTCTTTTACTGTAAATTCTTAGTCACTTAATTTTATTTTGCCCTCCTTGCAAGCCTTAATGAGAAGAAACCACATTTATGCCTATGTCAGTAGGATGTAATTATAGGGGGATTGCATCTGAAGGCTGTAGCAGCTGAAACTACCAGTAATGTTCTATGAGATTTTGCCATTTTTATAAAGTGGAGTGATGGGGAGAAGAATTGCTCACAAGACAGATTTTTGTCACTTATCATAGAATCACATAATCATAGAAAAATAGAATCATAGAAAAATAGAATTACAGAATGGTTTGGAGTTGGAAGGGATGTTAAGATCATTCAGTTCCACCTCCCCCTGCCATGGGCAGAGACCAGGTCGCTCAAAGCACCATTCCACTAGACCAGGTCGCTCAAAGCACCATCCAACCTGACCTTGAACACCTCCAGGAATGGGGCATCCACAAGTTCTCTGGGTAACCTGTTCCAGTGCGCCCTCACAGTAAAGAATTTTTTCCGAATATCTAACCTAAATCTTACATCCTTCAGCTTGAGGACTTGCCCCTTGTCCTACACTACATGCCCTTGTGAGAAGTCCCTCTCCAGCTTTCCTGCAGGCCCCTTTTAGGTAATGGAAGGCTGATCTAAGATGGGCTTCCTGGAGCTTTCACTTCTGAGGGGATTGGAGCAAGGGAACCTTGATTCTCCCAGCCTGTCTTCACAGGTGAACTGGTCCAACACTTTAGATCAGTTTAGTGGCTCTCCTCTGGCAGATGTCCCAACAGGTCAATGTCTTTCTTGTGCTCAGGGCCCCAGGTGGGATGCAGCACTCCAGGTGCAGTCTCACAGGAGCAGAGAGGGGGAATCACCTTCCTCATCTTCTGGCCACTCTTCTTTTGATGCAGCCCAGGATGTGGTTGACTTTCTGGGCTGTGAGCATGCATTGCCAAGTCATGATGACCTTTTTGTCCAGAAACACCCCCAAGTCTTTCTCCCCAGGGTTGCTTTTGATCCATTGTCTACCCAGTCTGTACTTGTGCCTGGGATTGCATGAGTCTTGTATGAGTTTTTTATTAAATCTTGAAGCATGTGTTGATCTTCACCTGTCTCTAGTCCAAAAGATAAGACTTGCCAATGGTGTATGCCAAGTGTGCACTTTACCCTCCTGGATACTGTTTTATTTACAGTCCTTAATATAATTTATATGCAAGCTCCTATCAAATTTGATTTTCAGAGTAGAACTTCTACCCAGCAGTTAAGTGATATGCTACAAAATATGCCTCCAAAGCTTATAGCATTGCAGATGGAGATTTTCTACTAGAAATTCTGAAGACTAGAATTATATTTTTATATCATGTATTTGATATATTATAGCATTCCTCTATTGCATCACTATGGGAAGTCTGTATGTTCTGTGGGAAAAATTAATCATAGCTCCTGAAGCTCATGTGTATGCAGATGCAATAATATATTAATGTTATATCCAGTAGTTAGCAACACAGAAGTATGTAGGTTGAAAAAAGCCTCAGTGAGTCTTCCAGTCCAACCTCCTGCTCAAAGCAGAGCTCACTTCAAAGTCAGACCATGGCCTTATCCAGCCACATTCTGCAATCTTTGGGGGCAGAGGTTTCACAGTGTGGTGCATTGACCCTGGGAAGACACTGGGTGCCCACCAAAGCCTCCCTGTCATTCAGCTGGATGGAGGAGAGAAAGCCCACCAAAGCCTCCCTCAGCTGGATGGAGGAGAGAAAGTCTAAGGAAAGGCTCATGGGTCAAGATAAGGGCAGAGAGGGATATGCATCTGCATAATTACAGTATCTGTTCATGTGGGTTAGAACACCAGCTAATGAGTCCCAGCAATTCAGCCAAAAGTCAAAGACCTGCTCTTTGTTGGTTGCCTCAATTTGCTGCATGACTTGTAAGTGTTTTAAGAGGGAATTTAGCAGAACATTGGTAGAATCAATTATTACTGGGTGCTGATTAGTTCATGATACTGTGGGTAAAGTGAACCTCATTTCTGATCAGTTCACAGATGGTTTCACTAGCACAGTTGAGGGTGAAGCAGTACAAGGGGAAAGGATATTCCTTACAAGCAACAGTATATGTGTCAGGCCAATACCAGTTCTGCCTGCTCATGTCTGCAACGCATGTGCTGTGACTGCTAAGGGTTGGACATGGGATATGCAAGAATTTCTGCAATGATACCGTTTGGATCTTCCTCACAAAAAGATTTACTTTTTTTTTGCCTGCGTGTTTCATCAGTATCATTAAACATACAGGCTCATGCAAACTTAAAATTGTGGTCGTGTTTTCCTGATTGTAACTGCTTGGCTTGTGGCTTGTGTAATTAAGTTCTTCAGGGGATTGTATGATACTAAGTTTGTTCCCAGAATGGAGCCTGTTCACTGAGGACAGTGATGCCATAGCTCTGCCTCTCACTTCAGGTAGTTTGAACACTAAGTCTGTTGCTCAGAAGGAGGTTGTTTCTGATGGACAGATAGGTGCAATGTGTAACTTAGCTCTTTGGAAAGCTTATGCAGCAGGGGTTTGCGGTCAGCTGTGGGAGAAATGATTTTTCAGACCTGGGAAACAACCCTCCCACTGGAAACCTCTCTTTAAAGATGCTTAAATTATCTGGATTGCATAAAGGTAGAGGATTGTGATACAAAAAGTAGCATCTTTGGATATTGGGTCATTTTACCAAGAAAATCTTTTTTCTCTGAATTCTAGCAGTGCTGCTTAGAAACATATAGATTTAATAGATTTAACAGGATATTATTCCAATGTCTTTAATGAACTGAGTTAATCGGTAGCTGTATTCCCCTCTACTAATGAAGACTGTGCAGAGACAGTCTTCTATTAATGTTGGTGAAGTACAAACAATATACATACTGGGTCAGGGTACTGTAAAATATTAACAATTATTAATATTCTTTCTTTTTCAGTTTTCTCCTTGTGTTTGGTTGCTTGATTTTGTCCGTGTTTTCTACTATTCCTGAACACACAAAACTTGCCTCTGGTTGTCTCTTCATTTTGGTAAGTGAAAATTCTAAATACAAGATAGTTTTACAGATACTTTAGTATACATTCAAATCCTCTCCCTCACCATGGAGGAAGTAATATTAAGTAATAATAACTGAGCATTTAGAAAAAAAATCAGACGTTTCTTCAGAATGACAAAAAAATGATAAATTAGAGGATTCCACCACCTGTTTTATTTAAAAACAGGTCAGATAGTAAGACAGTGCTAATAAAGTATGGTAGTGCATCCTGTTCTTTGCTTGAGAACTGCTGTGGTTTATAACAGATAGATTTTCTACCACGGTTTGGCAGTGACTGAGCATGAAAGACCTTTGATATTGCTGCTGTCGTTTATAAAGTCAGTATGTAGTAAGAGGCACTTAAAATAGGAATTAATTTTGGTATCTTAGATACAGATTTGGGCTAGCTATTGGTAGATACTGACATTTTAGTAGCAGTTGCTGCAGTAGGATGTGGTAGTTTCATTATTTCTTCATAATACATGCTATTGTATTATGTTTATCTCTCCCTTTTCCCTCCTGAGGTAAATGAAAAGGGCTTTAATCCCTAAAAGTGCTTAACATTTTTCATGCATTGTACGGAGGACACGTTATTCATCTGCTTCTTGATGGGCCATTTAGTTCTGCAAGTGGTGGCCTGAGGATAGGCAGTAGTGGATATTAAAATGTAACCATGTACCCAGAGTTACCATGGTTATGTCAGCTCCATGCATTCAGCAGGCTGTGCCTTGTTAGGTAGCACCTGAGGTGAAGTAACTGTTGACAAATGCCAACATTTTAATTGTCATCACTGTGTATATCCAAAAGCTCTGGTCTTCAGAGCAGCTGCCTAATTAATTATGGCATGAGCAGGCTGATAATTATGTTGCGTGCTATGTCTTTACAGCACAATGGGCCACTGCATCAAAATACCTGAACTAAATGTCCAGAGCAGACTAGGTGCAGGTATGTGGTGTTTTGATCCATTGGATGATTTCTTAGCAGGGCTAATTAGGGAGAGCCATGCTAAATGTTGCATTTTTCTTCCTAGCCATATTAGTGCTTTTTCTTTCTCTGGAGAAAAGATCAGGTGGCATTAAACCAGCTAAAAATGGTCAGATTTAAACTTACACTCATACCTAAACCCATTATTTACAAATCTCAGCAACACTTGGTAAATGGAAGTCTGTTTGAATGTTCTGCAGCTAGTTATATTATTGTAACTGGTACACTAATTGCTAGGATTTTTTGGTATAGAAAACAGGAAAATCTGATTAGTCTGAAAATAACCTATTTGTAATAGAAGGGGCTTTTGTGGCAAGTAATCCATTTTCCTGTATACTTATGCAAATTGGTCACAGGAATACCATTTGTTCTGACATAAAATATGCATTTCCCGTGAGCCACATATTTGTTGATTGTGTTGGTACACTTAGCAGTGCTGACTCCTCAGCTGGCTGGCTCCCTGTACTATGTCACAGGTCTCCCAGGAGCCACAATGTGCAGGAGCTCTGTGAATGCCTGGCCTGCTCCCAGTGTTGGGCAGAGGTGTGGTGAGCTCTGATTGCTGCTACACCAGTCCTTGCAGAGGTGTCCATCAGCTGAGCAGTGTCTGCTGGGGGAATCTTCTGTGCTTTTGCTGTTATGGCTTCAAAGATGAGCTTTGTCCATCCTAACTGTTCTGTCTGTACGTCCCATGGCATCCTCTGAACATGGAATAGGCCCTAAGGAGGAAGAGGGTGGACAGTTGATCCTTGAAGCATCAATACTAGTCTCATCCAGCATTTCTACAATAAAACCTACTGTGTTCAGCAAACCCTTGGCAGGGATAAACCTAGTGACAATGAATTTTGCATCTCCTGCTGTGGGTCTCTAATGGAGAAAAATATAAACACAGCAAAGTATGATGTTCCAGAAGCAGGCTAAAGCTGACAGCTTTAGAGCAGTTTGCTGATGCATGGTTTGTTCCTCCTCTGCATATTGATCAGTAGCTGATAATAACAATGTTACCAAAACAAACTTTTGCAACCACAAAGCAAGAGGACAATACATTTCTACATTAACTCAGGAGCAGTTGCTTTGGCTGTGCCAATGCCTAACTGCAGTCACTGGAGTTTTCACAACCTTTTCCTTGCAGTGATTCACACAGCTCTTCCAAATGTGTCATTTAGTAAGACAGCTGTGTTCCCTATCAGGTCTGGTTTAATACTGTTTGTGCATTGTGCTTGAAATAGAAGATACATGTTCATTTTTTAATGAAGTACCATACAGATATAACAATCCATATAGCTGCCTGCTGGGTTTCTGTGAACTGTTTGTTTTGCAGATTTATTCCAGATGGTCTTTCCTACAGCCATGTTAATTGGCTAAAAAGCGAATGTAATGTTCCTCCAACTTAATACCTGAGCTGCTGCGTGCACTTTGGCTTTTGACATATTGCAGCTATTCACAATTGCACAGGGAGATTAAAGAGGAAGTGTAGATGAGCTGAGCCAACCTTTTCCTCCTTCTCAGAAAGGCCAGAGGAGCTGAGAAGATTATTCTTCTCGAATCAGTCAATTCCATTTATCTGCCCGAGCCGTGCCTTACAAGGGAGCAGAGAACATATCTCCTAATCACTGCATCCCAAATACTCTCTCAGAAACATGCAATTTGTGATAGCTCAAAGCAAATCATTGTTTAGGAAAGCAATAATAGCTGAGGGCTTCTGAGCTTCAGCAGAGGTTAATGGACTCATCTGGGCTGCAGAAATGCCTGAGCTCTGCTACCAGAGCTGAGGCAAACCTGCCCTGCTGTGCTGTGTTGGACCCAGCTTCAATTCTGGCATCCACACAAGTACTGCTGTGTGCCAAGGCTTCTTCTCCTTATCAGGAAACCTGTCAAGGGAAACACCTTTAATATTTGAATTTTATGCTTAACATGAAAGTCATGCAGATAAGTTAAGTGCATGTTACATACAGTAAACATTGGATTGTTGAATCAATAATTAATTTGGTTAGATTTGTGTCCAGGAATAATAAGAGTAACAAGGAGGAGATCATCAGATAAAACTCCACAATGAAAATTATGCTTTAGCCTCATCTTTACACACAACTTCTGGCACTTGAGTTGTAGCAGTGACATGTCCCAGACAGGCAGTAGGATAAAAATCTACTTCAGCATCAAAATAAACCACAAGCAGCTTAAGAATCCAACTAACACAGCAAGAAAATAATCTTTGGTGCGTTGCTGATCTACAATTACATTTGCTAGCACTTTATCAAATAATAAACACAAGGGCAGTAAAACTGAGACTGTGAAGGCAAAATCAAATCTTTTGGGAAAGATAGCCAAGAAGGAATATTATCTGGAACTGGAGGTCATTCACTCTGTTGACCAAACTCCCTATATTTTAAGTTCATTTTCAACTAAAGCTGAAAGTTATGTGAATTTCTGGTTCACTTCTGTTTGTTTGCTTGTCAATGCAAGAAAACTAATAAAATAATTTGAGTTGACCCAGGAAGATTTGACTAATTGAGAAGTAAAAAAAAAGGTCTTGGATCAATTTAATGCTTCATTTGATCTGGCATAATATATTATTTCTGTATTTGATTATCTTAGAACTTTTGGCTTAAAACTCAGATTGAGGTTATAGGGAAAAAATCATTTTTATGTGAAGTGAGAAAGCATCCTCTTTTTTTTGCAATTTTAATTTTTGATCAAGATGGGTAGATTGAAAAAAGCAAGTGAATTTCTGCAGGACTGGTTCTATCAAATCTGTTTTGTGGTTTTCTCTGAAAATGGCTGCAGTAGAAAGCTGTACCCAGATTTGTAGAATAAAGGCCTCTGAAAATGTACTCTAGGAACACATTCTTCAGTCAGAAATAGCTCCCAAAGATATAAAAGCAGACAGTGTGCACAGGCTGAAGCTGGTTTCTGCATGTACTATGGTCACACACATGAACCCAAAATGAGAGTCTACCAAGTGCTTCTAGCAATTAATATCTTTCCAGGATCTTTTTCTCATAATATTTTTGCATAAAAGAAAGAGGATATCCATTGATTTAAAAACATATTATACAGATGCCCCAGTTTGTCTCTGCTCTAGGAAGTCCATCCACAGGAAGGTAATCATACAAATCCACTACAGCATTGTAAAGCTGGCTAGAGTGGATTTTAAAAAGGGAGATGGATAGTGCTCAATTAACAAAAATTTTTAAAAAAGCATTTTTCAGTTTTGTTATTGTGCCACTTGCTATGCTTGGATAAAAGACCACCAGACTTGAAAAAGGACTTAATGAAAGCTCTATAGGACCAGCTATCAAGGCATAAAAAGAAAAAAATTATCTTGAAAGATTTCAATTATAGATACATTTCTAACAACAGTAAGGTATAGACCATATTACTGGAATTTTCTTGAGTCTTCTTCTGAGAAAAACAGATTAATTCATCCCTGAGTTAAAAAATCAGTGAGTTTGTCAAAACTCAAAATCAGTATTTCTCAAGAAATACTGATTTCTAGTGTTTTATTTTCCAAATCAAAACTTAGCTTTGAAATTTCAAAATTCCTCATAGGAATCTCTAAAAAATTACATTAGATATACAACACTGATGCTATTAAAGACAGAATAAGAGAGGGAACTCTAATGTTGATAAGGTCAAAACCTTCATGTTTTCAGTTTTGTTTGGACTCATGTACACTAATAATAACATGAGAAAAAAAATCAATCATGTAATAAGAAACTCCCTGTTAGCATTGAAAATATTCTTACCACACAAAAATGAATATTTTCACATCTCTGCTGTTTAAATTGATGCTCTCCTATTATGTATACAGATTTGACTAGGTCCAAGCTGACTGTTGTTATAAAAATTTGGACAGGAGTTCATCACAACTGCTTGTGAATCTTTGTGTAGAAACAGAGCAGACTTTCCACTGGAAATTAAAGTGCTGGACCCACTTTGCTGAAATTAAAAGTTATTATGAGGAAGCCTGACAGAAAGCAAAAAATTAAAATAAAAGATGGAGTTATTATA